TATTGCTTTTCTTTTTGGAAGTAAATCTTCATTCTCGCCGGTATTGTCCTCCTGTGTCTCGCTCATTTTTTACCAGTGTTTTGATGGTCTGCAAACTAGCGGGGCGGGGCCTGCTGTGATCTGATCAAGAATGATTGTGATTGGTGGTTTGCTGTGCATGCAGAGCCTGCATGTCACTCACTCAAGTACCCCTGACATGAGAGCCGCGCAAGTTTTCCTTTTGTAGCAAGCAGCAAAACAATTGTAACATGACGTGTTTGAGTTAATTCACCTACTTAATATCACAAGTCCTAAAAAAAAAATGGAAAAAAAAACCTAAAAATAATTATAAAAAATTAATAAAATCGCACGTCCCTGCGATGTGAATATCGCGCAAGCCATATCGCGGTTATCGCCATGACACGATATATCGTTCAGCCCTAGTTTTTCAGTTGAATTATACTTAAAGTCCAGGGTAATCAACTGTTAGAAACATACTGATCACATTTATTTTTACAATAAATTGATGTTTTCAAATTAAATGGATAATCGTTTTTAATAATCATGATTTCAATTATTGACCCAAATAATCGAGATTATGATTTTTGCCATAATCGAGCAGCCCTAACACATAGTCATTTAATTGAACTAAAAAGGATAGTCCTTTTGTCTGATAAAGCACACATATCAATAAATCACTCGACAGAATACCTTAAGGTGATCTGTGTATAGAAGGGTGTTTCAAATTCAATACATACAAACAAATCCTGCATAAGCACTCACCTGTGTGCTCTGGTCAATAAACTATTCCCCGTGTCAGCAATCTGGACCATTAAACATATTGCCTCACACCTTAAAAGGCTTCAAATTCAGAGGCAGACGCAGCATCAGCAGATAGCTGCTGAGTTAACCAAACTGAAGACCTTTGTGAAATGAAATGCCTGTTTCAAATAGTCATGCATATTCCAAACTAATGTACTTAAGTCCATTTATGATGAAGTATTTTAGATCCATGTATTCTTTCAAAAGAGCAGAGAATCGGCATACTTAACAACTGAAGCATCATTACGTGGATGAATGACCACATGAAGAGATCCGTGCTTCCTGTCAGTAACTGGGTTAGAGGCAGCCCTCACGGACAGGCTTCAGATCATAGTGACACACGAGCAGCAGCAGTAATGCTCACACTGTCAAAGCTCACACTCAGATGGAAGGAATTGACGTAATAAAACCCCAATGAGGTGTAATCAAGTTGTACCTTTTAGATCAGAAAATATGAGATGCTTTATCAATAAGTCATTCAAAAGAAAAAGTATCTTCAATACATTCATCTGCTTGTCTTGGCCATGTAGCAGGAAATGAAACTCCTTTGTGGGGTCGATTTTTAGACCGGCTAAACAACATCTCACGATATCACCTTATGTCTGAAAAATGTAGTATTTTCTGTCTTTTCTTACATTGTTTAGAAATACAATTCCTGGGTAGGGTTAGGGTTACCCTACAAGTCAAGGTGCCTGCTGTCAAAAGCATTCGATTTAATAAAATAGTATTTCAATTAATTTCTTATATATAGTGTCCATTGTTTTAGCTACAGTAACTTAAACTTGCAAAAATAACTTTTGTCATATTTGCAATCCTGACATTAGCAAAGAAATCTAGTAATACTAAAAGTCTCTAAAAGACCAATCAGAGCTGAGGGAAGTCTTACCTGTCAATCACTGCTACTGAACTCCCATTTTAGTCATCTGAAGTCCCGCCCATCTACTTCCGCCCCATGAGACCTTATTTCTGAAAAATTATGTATTGAAGTCAATGGAGAGAGAAAACGTATCTTTCGATCCCGTTTGAATTGTGCCACGAATTACACACATGATGTTTGTCAATCTTAACAAATCATTTCCATGTCAAAAAAGTCACAGTTTGTCGTAAAACTGTTGAAATATAAGACTATGAAAAATACGCAACTAGAAAGACTACAAATCCCAGAGTCGCGTAAGTGATGTCATTAACGTTACACATTACACTCGTGTAACTCACCGAAACCTTGTAAAGCCGGTCCCGCATGCTGGCTCTTACGGAACCGACTAACTTCCCTTGTGTGTACTGTATGCACAGCTCTCAACGTGCCCAGACTTGGAGTGATTTTCACCTCTTTTAATACTTTCCGCCTCATTCTGAAAGAAAGAAGTGAAATGTTAACGTGGCGGCCGTCTTGGTGTGTGGTGCGAGACGGGAGATGTAGTTCATTGAGCGGTTTCACACAAAAAAAATTGTTACTTCACAGTTTTACGACACATTTTCATTTTTTTGACTTGCAAAATTATCTTTTAAATTGACAAACATCATATGTGTAATTCGTGGCACAATTCAAACGTGATCAAAAGATAATCTTTCTCTCTCCATTGACTTCAATGCATACTTTTTTCTAAATAAGGTCCCATGGAGCTCCCCCGGAAAGGGAGGGACTTCGCCACTCTATCGGAATGTGAGCTCCAGCTGGTGGGCGGGGCTTGGCTTTGGTTCCATAGTTTTCAACAGCATCACAAACCTTAAATATGTTTCTGAAAGCATTTATTTGTATCATCATAGATCATAATTAAACGGTAACAATGAACAATTAGCTGCCTCAATTGGCACAAAATAAATACCTAAATGAAAGCAGCTTTTTTTATATTTTACATTCCTTGTCTGCTATACCACATAGTTAAGTGATAAAGCACTCTATGAATAAAATGTATAACCATTATCTTATTTGAATATGACTACATTCATGACATTTGATTAGATTAGACTGAAGTATACACTCACAAAGAATTATTGTGTTTCAAATCGTAACCTTTTATAATACATTTATGAAGGGTATTGTTGAAACAGGATATAAGTGTTACATTTATCATCTTATTATGATGATGCCGTGAATTCATATTGATTGTTTCAAACATTTGCCTGTAGGCCTACAGACTGCTGCTCTGATGTTTTTATGAATGGCTCAGCCTCTGTTTTCTGTGTGTGTGTGTGTGTGTGTGTGTGTGTGTGTGTGTGTGTGTGTGTGGTCTAGCATTACTATACTTGTGGGGACCTACATCTGTTTACATAGTCACGTGTGGGGACTCGCCTCCCTTATGGGGACAAATTGGAGGTCCCCATGAGGGGAATCATTAATTTTAGGGTGAAGACTTGGTTAGGTTTAAGGTTAGGGTAAGGGTTAGGGTTAGGGTTAGGGTTAGGCATGTGTTGGTTATGGTTAAGGTTAGGATAAGTCTCAAGGAAATGCATGTAAGTCAATGTAATGTCCCCTGAAGTGATGTATACATGGTGTGTGTGTGTGTGTGTGTGTGTGTGTGTGTGTGTGTGTGTGTGTGTTTGTTATGGTTGCCAGAAACTGACCATGATCAAAATCGGAAAAAAAAATTGCATTTGCATTTCACTTCCTTTGTACTTATAAGTTCGAAGTAGTTCCACGAGGAGGAACTCTTTTTACCTGCCGCTTTGTTCATCTTTAGTCGCACGTGTGAGGGAGGGTGGGGGTGGGGGCGGGGGCGGTGTGTAGCGTGCTGCAGCAGCAGTCTGCTCTGCACGCAGGCTTCCTCCAAGTTTACAGTAAAACAAACTGGTGGTGTGACCAATGGCCATTTACAATTGTTAATACTATAATACTATTATTAGCATTAGTCTATATTTTGGTTGAAACTAAGCCAGAAAAAAAAAAAAAAACGTAAATAATAATAAAAAAATATATAAATAAAATCGATTTTTAAAAATAATATTCGATTATGGAGACTGTAACGATTAATTGAATAATCGAATAATCGCTGGCATCCCTAGTGTGTGTGTGTGTAACGGTTCACAAACATTTCGGTTCGGTACGTACCTCGGTATTCAGGTCACGGTTCGGTACGTTTTCGGTTCAGCAGACAAAACATAAAATATATATATATATTTTTTAAATTATTATTAAACTGTGAATAAATACTGTCAAATAAATACAAAATATAATAAAATAAACTTTAAGGTGCAGCATTTCGATGAACTGAAATAATCTGTATTTGAACTGTACTAGTACCTAAGCAGCCAGTTTCACATTAGGACTTGCTTGTCATTGTATTTTCATGTTGTTTAAAGAAAAATGAACTTGTCCACATTGCTTGCCGAAAGGGCAGATCTGCTGGCACTAACAATGTCTCCTGCTGTGGAGAACACCCTCTCTAGGGACAGAGGTAGCAGACACAGCCAGGTAGCGCTTTGCTAACATGGCAACATAAGGATATTTGGCGTTTGTAATAGCTTTGGCTCGGTCTGAACTCTCTGCGAGTGGTGGAGGCTTAAATGCTAGCGGGAGTTGGGTTTGCACTTCAGTCTTTTTTCTTTTGGTACCGGTGATATTCACGTTCGGGTGATGCCTTTTCAAATGAGTGTGCAAGTTTGATGTATTGCCAGCCGCGTAACCAATGTTAGTTGAACAATGCCGACAAACAGCTTTGGTTCGGTCCACCTGTCTTTGTCCGTCATCCTTGTACGTAACTGCAAAACCAAAATGTTCCCAAACCGGAGACTTCAATGATGCTGGAGGATTTTCGAGCTCAACTTTATCTGCGTTCGCCATTTCGACAGTTCCTCAAATTACTGACTACATTTGAACGCATCCCTGTGACCAGCTCTCATAGTATGCCTCTCGTCCAATGAAATGACTTGCTCGCTCTATGACGCGTTGAACTCAATGTGAGCAAATTACTCTGAATGCTGCGACGCAGCACCTGAGATTACTTCCAAGAACTTGTTCAGTTCTCAATTTTTTACGTTTAACGTTATACTCGTTTGGTACACTTCGGTACACTTCGGTACACACGTGTACCGAACCGAAGGGCCCGTACCGAAATTATTCGGTACGGGCCCTTCGGTACGTGTATCGTTACACCCCTAGTGTGTGTGTGAGAGAGAGACTGATGCATACTGCAGTGTTCAGTGATGGAGATGGAGGGGGGAGGAGTAGGAGGGAGATGTGTGAGGAGGACTAGAGGAGACGCGTGATGGTAGGAGGTGAGAAAGGAAGGAGGAGGAGAAATATGAAGGGAGGAGACTAGGGGGGAGGAAATACATTCTCCTATGGATGGATAGACATACTCTAGTGTTCTCACTCTGACTCATCCCCCTCTCCCTTTCAACTCTCACATTGGTGCATTCTGCCTGTGTGCACCCTGGGGACACAGACACACACACAGCACACACACACAGACACGTTCACAGAGCGGCTCCGCCTCCTCTGCAGTGTAGCGACAGCCAGCGAGGGCAGCAATGGAGGAGAAGGCAGTGAAGCAGGAAAAAATCGAGGGATCATGGGAGGGAGTGCAGGATGGAGGGAAGGCAGACTGGAAGAACGACTGCTCCCTCTCCTCCCTCCTTAAACACTCCTGTCTCCTCTGCTGGTCCTCTCCCAGGGACACCGACGTGGTGGAGTCGGACGAGAGGGTCCTCGCCAAGGCAACGGAGATCAGAGTAAGAAGACCGCAGCACCTGGCTCTGGTGTGTGCATGATTGTGTGTGTAATACATCCGTGTGAGTGTGTTTTGTGTTGGTCTCTCATAATGTGTTAATAACCATCATGTAGACAGGACACAGAGGACAGGTAGGTGTGTGTGTGTGTGTGTGTGTGTGTGTGTGTGTGTGTGTGTGTGTGTGTGTGTGTGTGTGTGTGTGTGTGTGTTTTTATGGTGCCTCCAGTTTGGGATTCCTCCATCACTGCATTTCCCATGATGCTCTCATGTGATGTCATGATGCTGTTGAACAGGCTGCATGAAGCTGTGCACACACTGCTCTGTGCAGGTCTGGGTGACTGCTGGACCCAGGGTTAGGTACCTTCTGGTTTGTAGATTTATTTCATTTCAATGTAATATCATGGCAATGATCAATTGACCAGTTATCATTTCTCACCTGTAATGACCTAAAAGCAGCCAGGTGCAAACATCCACTTTAAATGCCTTTCAGTTGATATGGTGTATAGATGTAGAAATGATATTAAGGATTTATATATATTTTAGGATATATATGTCTTTGAACCCAAGCCACACTGAAATAATTGAAACGTTGACTTTTAATTAAATGTATTATGTCAACCGATTTCACATAGCTGTATTGGGTTAGTTTAAAGCAATAATATTACGTTTAAATACAAGAATATGCTCAAAAATACATTCATGCGGCATGTCAGTGTTACTACTAAACACGATGTTTTAGAGAATTTAAAAAAAGAATGCAAATGTATGTGGTTTCCTTGTCCATAGGCAGACAGAAATAACAGTGCAGATATATAACAATATTGATGAGACATGCTGAGCGGTAGTACTATCAAAGCATGTATGCTAAAAAAGGATATTAGCTTTTTATAGGCCAGATCTTTTTCCATGAAAGTGAATCCGTCCCACTGCACTATGAACACCAAGCCCTGGACTACTCTGATACTAAGGATGAGCCAAGATCTACTGCTACACTGAGCAGAAGTATATACTCAAAAGAAGAAGTACTCATTTGTTTGGACTGACCATGTCCAAAACATATGTCTCCGGTTTGATATTGTTGTGTTTTCCCTTTAGCTGTTGTGTTTTTTCAAATGTTGCTCTGTGTTTGGGATGTTGTGGTTTTTTAAATGTATTTTTGAAATGTAATGGTGTTTTGTGAGATGTGATTTTGAAATGTTCTTCTGAACGGTATTAGTGTTTTTTTAATCCGTGTTTAATTTTTTTTTTAAATGTTGTGTTTTGAAACTTTTGAAACATGATTTGTGATTTGACCTTGAGGGCATCTTCATAAGGCTGATAACGTCCATCCAATGGGCTGATAAGAACTGCGCCTGTATGTGTGTGTGTGTGTGTGTGTGTGTGTGTGTGTGTGTGTGTGTGTGTGTGTGTGTGTGTGTGTGTGTGTGTGTGTGTGTGTGTGTGTACATCTCCATGCATGTTTAATCAGTCCATAATTAAGTTTTAATCACTGTAATAAATCCTGTGTGTATGTGTGTGTGGTTGTGTGTGCATGGTTGTATGTGTGTTTATGTCTGTGTGTGTGTGCGTGGTTGTGTGTCTGTGTCTGTGTGTGCAGGAGCTGGAGAATGCAGTGACAGTGGAGCACCTGGAGCTTCAGGAGCAGCAGTCGGACCGCAAGGAGCTGGAGGAGACTCTGGGGAACCTAGAGACGCACAAAGACAAGCTGGTGCAGCAAGTGAAGGCAACACGGCAGATGTGCTATGAAGAGAGTCAGAAGGTAAAATACATGAGGACCTCTTATACCTCATTCACACCAACGCAACTCCGGTTCAAGCTCCGTGCTAGAGCTTTTCAGGTTCAGAACCAGTTCTTCGGTTTAGCTCTGGCTCTTTTCACACCGCCCAGAGTCCGACTGGTAATGCGTCGTTGCGTCATCGTTTGCGTCATGACGTAACCGTTTGCGTGCCTGCTTCATAAAGCCAAACCGCGCGGATGAAATCAGTTGCATTCATTTCTTATGGCTCTATCTGCAGCTTTTCCGGAGTCATTTCTGTGGTTTAGTTATATTCTTATAAAAAAGTGTACTCGTGTCAATAAAGGTTTTTTTAAAACACAACTGCTTCCGAGGTCGGTCTTATTTCTTAAGGTGGACTGAACCATGAGTGTGGAGTAACGTTGTATCTTTCATTTAAATGAACTGTAACCTTCACCCAGGTATGTAACAGCTGTTCTCAAATGAACACGGGAAGTACAGTTTAATATTTATAGTTTTATAGTTTTATAATGAGAGGTGATCAACGTGAATGCTCAGGTTCCACCTTAACACGCAGACACGTTGCTTCACCATGAGCAGAAACCTTTATATATACAGTCTATGGCAGAAACTCTGAAACTCTTGTTAAGTTTCTCCATCGTTGTGTACAAACCAAAACGCGGGCTTTTTCTTGTTGTTCAGGAGTTGATATGCCCCTGCCCCCGCCTCGACGTAAGCGTGACGTATGCGGTGCTTTTGCTCTGGCCGGCCAATTTTTTGGTGCTTGAAATGAACCGGATTCCGGAGCTAAGAGGCTGCTCCGCTGCTGTGTGAAGAGGAAAACCCGGTGCTTTTCAAGCTCCAGCTCCGAACCGGCCCTGAAACACTGTTGGTGTGAATGAGGTATTAGATACATTTCAAAATGTGTGTATATACAAGCTGTTATATCTGATGTGTAGCTACCTTTTAAGATGCTTCCGTCTATGCCGTTTCTCTTTGAGGATTCGTCAGTCTGTGATGCTGCTTCATGTTTGTGTTTGTTGACATGTTGGGGTTTCTCATTGATCTCGGATATTTTTAAAGAACCAATTCACTTTAAACCAAGTGGAGCACAAACAACACTTAGTCTCTTATGTCGAGCTACTGAGTAGTTCAGGACAAGTGGGATATTTGGATGCTAAAAAAGAATCTTGCTTTATTGTCAATATAGTTATTGTTTAAATATAATTGTCTAATAAGCAAGGGTTACCCTACTTATTTGACTTCATTATGACATTTCGATGTACTTATTTCAATGATCCGGTAAGCAATACTTTTTTTTAATTCATAGGATGCAAGCTAAAAATAAGTTGTATTAGCTCCTCATTAGCTTTCTTACATTCGATATGCAGTGTAGCTAGCTTCATGGCAAACTGGTCAACATATTGACTCACTGCAGAATATATCTCACAGCGGCTATTGAACTGTGAAGAGGTTCAGCAGGTCACATGGCTGCTAGATGGACCACACAGCTCATTACATCACATGTCACTTGACACTTTTATCCAAAGCAACTTACATACATTCATTACTGGGGGAGATCCCCACAGGAGCAAGTTGGGGTGAAGTGCCTTGCTCTCCCCTGATCTGAAGACCAGCGCACTACCTCACTGAGCCACAGCCTCCCCTTTACTGTTAATCATTGACCTTCTTATATACTGCAGATCAAATGTTTCATCTTCACTTATAAAAACACGTGATAATTTTTTTGGATGATACTGTAAATCTGAAATGAAGTGCAGTACAAGTATTAAGTAGAAGGTGATGGGAATACTTGAGTTAAGTACAAGTACCACACAATAGTACCTAAGTACAGTAATTGGAGTACTTGGCACAACATTTGTTAACTATAGCCAACATGTATGGCTTCCCGTTGCTCACCGCATCCACTACAAACTCCTGGTCCTCACTTACAAAGCCCTCAACCATATGCCCCCCCCCCCCCCCCTACCTCATCCTCTACCAACCCCCCCGGTCCCTCAGATCCACCTCAGCCGGTTTGCTTTCCACCCCCAAGGCCAAACTCCGGAGCTTCGGGGACAGAGCCTTCTCTGTGGCAGCCCCGAAGCTCCGGAACCCCCTCCCCCAAGACCTCCGTGAGTCTGAGTCCCTTACCCTGTTCCAGTCCCGCCTCAAGACTCATCTCTTCAACTCTGTATATCCATAAGCCCCCCCCCCCCCAATCAACTTCCTCATGACTGCCCTCTCTGTTTATCTTATTATTCTAAACAACAGTATAAATTGCATTTCCCCTGTACAGTTTGATCCTCTGAAGCGTGCTCATTGTATCGGTGAAGTGCATGTGACAGGTAAAGACTAATCATCCCACTGTGTATTCCTGGCAGATCCTGTCCCTGCAGGCGGAGGAGGGGGTGAAGGAGAGCCAGGTGGAGGAGTATGAGAGGGAGCTGGCCAGAGTCAGGTGGAGGCTGAAGAGGCTCAGAGACGAGGTGAAGCAGGCCAAGAGGAAGGTGGAGGAGGCTGGAGAGAGGGACACCCCCCTGCAGGACTCCATCAGGCAGTCTTATGAAGAGATCCTGCAGGTACGGGGGGGCATGCATCTTTACACCTGTGTGAATTATTCTGTGATACTTTGAAGATGCGGAATGGCTGTAGAAGGCAGAGTGAACGTCCACCAATCAGAATTGCAGTAGCCAGAGCCCTAACCCCTGCAGTTGACCTGTACAGTAGATGTCTCCTTGGGGAAGATGTTCAAATCCTAATTGTCCCCAACGGCATTTCAATGTTCGTGTTTATGAGCGGGTGCACCTTGTATGACAGCCTAAAGTAGAAGTAAGGAATACTCTGTTACAGTAAAAGTCCTGCATTCAAAATGTTCCTTAAGTAAAAGTAGAAAAGTATTCTCATCAAAATATAGTGAAAGTAGCGACAGTAAAAGTAGTCATTGTGCAGATTGGTCCATTTCAGAATAATATATATGATATGTTTTATAATGATTGATCATGAAAGTGTTCTCAAAGCTGGTAAAGGTGCAGCTAGTTTGAATGACTTTGTATACTGCAGGGTAGCTGGTGGATTTACTCCAGGTGGAACTAAAGTCTGAGTTAACACTTGGTTATATTTCACATCATTCATCCAGATCTGTGAAGTAACTAAAGGTAGTTAATAGAGTAAAAGTACAGCATTTACCTCTGAATTGTATTGCGGTAGAAGTACAAATACCTAAAATGTGTACTTAAGTACAGTACTTGAGTAAATATACTAATTGACTGTACACCTCTGCTCTGGATGAATGAGTGTGTTAGGGGTGGATGCTGGCTTGTGTTCAAACTTGGAGAGGTCGCTAAGATCAGAAATATGCTATAAATATGAAATATTAAAGAGGGCTATGGAACTCTCTATGATGGTTGAGCGGGTCATATACCGGGGCTTCTTCCCCACTAACGGTTTGATTCAACCAGGGGACCTATGACTCGTGTCTCCCCCTCCCCCTCCTCCTTAAAGGAAATTGTGTCAAAATATACATAGCTTTTTTCTGAAAGGATCTTATCTTCTAGAGCAGTCAAGCTAAACAAAAATCCAACTAATGACATGCTTTTTGAATAAGAAATCTATCTGTTTGCCCCACAATAAAGATATTTCTACTAGGGACATTAGAGATGAATAAACTGTTTGATTTAATAACATCTTTTGATTGGAGCGGCCTTTCATAGCACCCAAGGACAGCTCAGATGGATACAAGAAACACTTAACAAGTTAACACAGCAAAAATATTTAATAACAGGGAGGACAGAAAAAGAGACATACTTTAAAAGCAGTTATGTATGGGGGACAGGAAGTAGCATTGATGAACAAACCGGACGACTAAAGTGAGTAGGCTGAACAGCTGAGTTTAGGAGGTAACCCTAACCCTACCGTGTTGAATAAGATGTGCTGGATTCGACAGGGATGGAGTCTGGAGATGTGCTGTCCAGGGTGACACCGAGGCTCTTGGCCATGTCCTATTTTCCTACTTTGTTGGTTCATTTGTCTCTCACTGTTTCCTCATGTTCCATACCCGCCTGTTCCCTCAGGAGGAGCACACGCTGTGCTCTCTGTCAGGCAGTGCCATGACTCCAGAGAGCCAGCTGGAGGAGTCCACCTCCCCTGCAGACACCACGGAGGACGACCCACTGCCCATGAGGCCTTGGGGAAGGAGCCAATCACTGCCTGCCTATGCTGACCTCATCATGGTAAATCACAGTAATGATGCACCCACACTGTACTTTGGCTAGTAAGTCCTCCAACAATGCAACATGCTTGTTGTAAATAGAGTAACATCAAATAAAAGCACTGTCCAGTGGAATCAAATCAGTGCATATTCTAATAACGTATAAATAAATATGTAGACTTCAAACATAATGTGTTTTAAAGCATGAGAGCTGCCATTTGTAATGGTGGATAGCAGGGCTGTACCCGAATATTCGTTCGTTGGAATACTATTCGGGTTTCAATTTCGTTATTCGGATATTCGTTTGTTTTTTTTCGGCTGCCAAATTGAACAAACACCATGCGATATCCTTTTCAATTTCAAACAACACAAATTGGGTTACATTAACAAATAACTATAAAACAACAATACTGTAGCATAACAAAATGACTGCCGTGAATACACCGAAATACACGTGTTGAAGCGGTTCGCTGCTGACCGCTCCCCCACGCGGGCCGAATATTCGCTGCTGATTACTACCGAATATCCGGAGCCCATTTTATTTTCTGTGAATGAGCATTGTTCTCTTTCTCTGTCCAATTCCTCTCTGTCTGTGTGCAGAGGGCCAGTGGCTCGTCTTTCTGCAATAATCTGGCAGATACCAGAGAAGAAGCAGACGACAGTGGGACCAGCTCCCCAAAGGTAGCAACTTTACCACAAAACACGTCATCAAATAAACACGTGAAAGATACAGCTGTGGTGAAGCACAAATATATGAAATATTTGTAGTTGCAGAGTGTATGACAACATATTGCAGGCTGAAATCATACATGCTTATTTGAATTGTTACACAGTTAGTAATGATTTAAATGTATGAACACACTGTCTCCAGTCTAATGATGTAAAACTGTGTTGTAATGTTTCACAGATGGACAGGTCCGACATAGAGGACGAACCAGAGGACGGGGTGTTCAACCCTGAAGGGGAGAAAGAGAGAGAGAAGGAGGAGGCCACTGTTAGTCCTGATGCTGTCAACCAGCTGGACTTCTACCAAGCAGACCCCTTCGCCCACTGCCAGAGTGAGCGTATGTATCACTGTCAGGCTGATAGGGCCTCTCGCTGAATCACTGCGTAACAAAAGGACGTTTTCTTTTGGACAAATATCTGTCACAGAACAGGTTGCACTGTTGAGCTCTAGTTCATTGAATTACCATTTTCCAACCAGACCAGACATATGAGATAAGCACATGCTGAGTTCTGTGATGATGATGAGGATGATGATGATGATGCTACATTGTAAATAACACATTCCCCATATGTATGACAGAGCTGTTAGCATCCAGTGGGCAGTAAAGTATACTATATGACATACATTTAGCTTTAAACCGCTTATAATAAATAATTAATGTATGAAAAAAAAAAAATCAATTCAATATTCAAATAAAAAACCAATCATTAATTTTCTAATTATTCACATTTTTACTGCAGTTGCAGTCTTGGTAAACTGCTAAACAAATGTTTACGTGGTTTGTCCTGTTTTTCTCACCATGTATCTTTCTTTTTTATTAAATTATTTTACAATTGATGTCTGATTTGATTTGTAGATGACCTCTTCAATGAAGACCTGTTCCCTAAAACTGACTCGTCTGGTGAGTAATAATACTCTAGTTAACTACATTCATTTCACTTTAAGGTGTTCTACTTACCAAAAACGGTGACTTTATTTGTATTTGAAACTCTCTGAAAGCAAGTATTATATAATGATGGATTCAATGCTTCATTGTGTTTATATGTACAAACACAAATCTAGTGTCAACTCAATCGTAGGATTCAAGATGCTTTCAGAAAGTGGGGTTCACTCAAATATTAAACTCCAGTAAAATGTTGAAGTGCTTGTCCTTCATACTTTTAATCCACTCCAAATACTGTTTACTGTGCAATATGCATTGTTATTGATTTGACCAACAACCCTGTTCAAATGACCTCAACATATGCATATCATTTTTCATAATGAATGCTCAAATACAACACATTTTGCAGCAAATGCTTAGCATTTGATTTGACTTATGTACCACTGCTTCTGGTTTCAGGGTTTCTATCTGCCGCTGACACAACTCTTACTGGTACAGCTACTGTTGTTGAGAGTGCTTGTATCATGGGGCCTGGTTCAGCTTTTCTCTTAGTTTTCAATATGATCTAAATTATTAAACCATTGTGACATGTCACTGAGCTTTTATGAATTCTCTGTTTGCTAGGTGGATTTGCTTCAGACCCTTTCAAAGGCAGCGACCCCTTCGCAGCAGATGTTCTGTTTCCAGAGGGGCAGGTCGATGATGGGGCGGGAAATATTGGGGATGAGGCCGACACTAGTCTGTCCTGCGCTGAAACCAAAGCCTCAACAGGAACTCAGTGCTTCGAGTCTGAGTTCCCCAACGAAGACAGCGACATCGAGATTAGCTACAGTCAAGAGGACCTGGACGCCATCGCCCAGGGAGACGATCCTCTGGGGTTCAAACCCATCCAGAGCTCCTCTGAGGAGCTGGGGCCGGTGCCGATCCAGGGCTGGAGGTCCCAGGGGCAGTACTCCATAGAATCAGACCCCAATGGGTATGAGCTGGACCTGGGCGCTGTCTCCCCCCCCTCTGACATAGAAGAACTGAGTCTGGGATATCCACCTGAAGAGGCTGCCACCAAGACCACAGCAGGACTGGAACAAGGTCATTTTACACACACACACATACACACTTTTCAAATGTTATACTCATTTTTATACTTCCGTCCTTGGGTCTCTTGAAAGGCACTATAAAAATTGAAATTATTGTTATTATTCTATCGTATATATTTGTTATACTTAAGTGTTTTAAACACATGCATCTTGCTTTCCTACGTATTAATGTCTAAGGGCAGTGGTGGAAAGTTACTAAGTATATTTACTCAAGTACTGTATTTAAGTACACATTTGAGATACTTGTACCCAAGTATTTTCATTGGGTACTATTTCATACAGTACATCTACTACATTACAAGCAAGCAATTGTTTTAATTTTAACTCCACCACATTCATTTTAGAGATTTAAAATCTGGTTACTTTTAAAAGTCAGATGTTGACACACAATAAACAAACACAAAACACTTTTAAAATATGCATAATTGCTATTAAAACATCAAACTTTATATTTAAGTAACTAAAACAATAGGTGGGTTAACTGAAAATGAATTGGCAGCAAATTGTTAGTTCAAAAATATTTCACAGTTCCAGCTTCTTAAATGTGAATATTTGCTGCTCGTTCTTTAAAATCTTTTTTTTTTTAAAGATGAGTACTTTACTTCTTATACTTTGTGTACATTTTCCTAATCAAACGTTAATACTTTTTCTGTAAAAACACTGAGTATGTTTACAGTGTGGTGTTAGTCATTTTAATCAAGTAAATAATCTGAATACTTTTCCACCACTTTTCCACCAAAGTACTTCTTCTTTTAAGTAACTAAAAGAAGAACGAAACTGAGGTATAGAGTCAGCTGATCCTTTACGATTGAATAAAAGTGAGATCTATTATTTTATATTATATATAAATGAGTTGCTTAAATAATATGAATACAAGTATTAAGTAGGATGAACAAACAGCTTGATTCCTGTGGGCTCCTGTCTTTGAACTTCTCCCCATGGATATAACCAGCTCTGCGCAGCACCGTTGTTACTGGTTGATTTCGTCATTTATCCTTTACTGGCCTCCACATGAACTACTATGTGACATTTGGTCCTCTTTAAATCCATTTCAAATGTTTCTCATGTCCTAGCCTTGACAGCTTAATGTTTTCTTCTCTAGGTCTGAGTCCTGGTTCAGCTCCGGCTGTTCCTCAGCTCGCAGAACAACTCACAGCATGTGTTGGCGACATGGAAGAGGAACTCCAAAAACCTGCGACTCCCCAAAACTCCCAAGACTCCGATAACCTTTTCAATCTGCCAGACTCTGATCAGAACAGAGAGCTCAGCTTCGATTTAAACTACGAACCGACCAGTCAGTCTTCCTTCGACCCATACGGCTTCAAACTCAGTCCAGAGCATTCCAGTCACACCCTCCTGGACCCTGATGAGGCTGAACTCAGCCCAGAACCCACTGAAAACGACCTGATCTTTGACCCTGAGCCCTCCTCTAGTCAACCAGACCAACTGACCATGGATCAGTATGAGTTTGACATCACTTCCTCCCAAATGGTGCGGGACTCTGACCCTTATGGCTTCAAGCTCAGCCCTGAGGAAGAGAACCAAGAGGTCCTGGACCTCTCTGGCCATGATACCCAGGAGGCAATGGACCTTTGCAACTATGACGACACAGAACAGGTAGAACCCTCTAACTATAGCAACCAGGAAGTACTTGAACCTGAAAACCAAGAAGTGCTTGAACATTGTCGCCACAATGACCAGGAGCTGCTGGATTTGTGTAACAATGGAAACCTTGAAGTGCTGGAAGCTTCTGGGCTGGACAACACCGGGTTGGTTAGCAATGAAAACCAGCAACTCCTAGATATCTGTAGTCATGACAACCAGGAGGTGGTGGATCCCTATTGCAATACCATGGAGGAAGAACTACTTGAGCCTTGTAACTATGATAACCAACAAGTGCTGGAACCTTGTAGCCATGGCAATCAGGAACTGCTGGATTTCTCCCTTCCTGAAAATAAGGAAGTGCTGGATTTAGATAGCCACGGCAACCAAGACTTAGTGGATTTTGGTAGCAAAGAAAATCAGGAAGTTGTAGTTTCAGGTAGCCACTCCAACCAGGAACTCCTGGATCTCGGTAGCAACGAAAATCAGGAACTGCTAGATTTAGGTAGCCATGACAACCAGGAGGTGCTGGACTTGTTTGGTAAGGAAGTTCTCCCTGAAGCAAACAACAACCAATACTTTGTGGAACCAGAGCATGATGTCAGTCCTACCAATAACAGCTCAGACAGCGATGTGGCCTCAGAGGACCTGCTGGGACTGGACCTCAGCAACACCAGTATCTGCTCCACCAACAGAACATACACTGCCGACCCCTTCAACACCTCTGCCCCCCACAACTTTGCTACATTCAACGCCCCCAGCGGCCCCAACCTGCTAGAAGGTGACCTCGGTTCAGTGTTTGGAGCTGGAGGATACATTGGGTGTCCTGATGTAGCAGACGACCTGGCCCCCCTGGAGAGAAGGCAGGCCAACCCTGTAGCAGAGCCGATACGGCCCTTCAGACCAGTGAGGCCTCCTCGGCCCTCGCTACGGGTGAGTGGGAAACACACAAATGCAACTCACACAGGGTGATCTTCAGATTATCGGTTCTTGAAGGTCCCATGTCATGCTTTTCCGGTTATTACCCGTCCCCTTGTGTGTTATGAAGGTTTTTCTGCATGTAAACGGTCTGCAGAGTCACAAACCCTCAAAGTACACCCTGTAGCGAGTAAAACTCTAACACAGAAAAGACCTGTCTATGCTGCCCCAGAACGCCTCCTTGGAGATTTCTCTTTTCCCATTGTTTTCTTCCTGGGTACTGTGACGTGTCCATACCCAAATGGACCCATTGGTCAATCCGTGGAGCCTTCACGTTATGTCCGCGGAGCCATTAGGTTAAGTACGTGGATTGGTCCAAATGGACCAATCCACGGACCTCACACACACTCAATCTTTTCTCAGCTGCAGCTCCGCCGATTTCCCCTCCCTGCGACGGGGCGAGGCTGTGAGTCGGTGTGTGTTCGGGCTGGGTTTCACTGTGTCTCGCAGACGGCCACTGAGCTCATAGGGGGGGGGGGGCAGGAGCTCCAACAAGCCGTTTAGGACAGAGTGAATACACATACTATACAGAGATGCTGTATGAGAAACCAATGTGAGTTTAGAACATTGCACAATATAAATCTATTCTAGTAGACCTCAACAATGGAATTATGATCAGTAGAAATGGCCATGACATGGGACCTTTAAGCTGCTTTTTCATTCCATTTGCTCTTTGCTCTCCGCGAGGTTGGGCGCAGAGACTTGCGGTGAAAACAGCGAGTTAAGTTTTCTTTTTAATGGTTATGTACCCTGCTAGCTTGCGCTAACAAAGTCAGCGGCATTGTTACGGCCGCCGCCTCCCCGATCCTGTTAACTCTGCTTCGACTGTGTTTTATGTGAATGAGCTGTGCGGTTGCCCTGATGTCATTGGCTACTCATCTCCTGGTCCGCCCCCGAAGATTGTGATTGAAGCATGCCGGGCCCGACGCGCTCCAATCCCAGCGCACACCTTCCGGAGACGACTATAAAGCCTGTGGACAACTATCAGTCGGGAGGCTCTGCTGTGTGAACAGACGCCTCTCGCTACTCGCTCTTCGATTGCATACAAATCTGTTAACAGTGGTTAACTCGAGTGGTCCGTATTTAGTTAGTGTTGTTGTGATTAGATGTGCCTAGAGTAGCTTAGAATTACGTTGACTATTGTCCTCTAGCTTAGCTGTGTTTTCCTACAGTCTCCTTTAGTTAGTTTGTACCACTTTAATAGTGAGGGTTGTTTTGTTGCTATTTTGTTTATTAGTATCTATTCCTTTGTTATTGATTAGGCTCTCTTTTTAGAGTCCTCCCTTTGTTTGGTTGCTTATTTAAATCTGCGCCCTTTTGGCCTTTTTGTTTGCTCCAGGCTGCTTGTCTGCCATTTTGTTATCCTGTTATTTGATAAACTGCTTGTAATTTTTACCAATTCCAACTGGTGTATGTTGCTTTTTCTCTTCCCCTAGTCGGGACCTAACAGGCATTGAGTTCAAAGTTGAAATAATTTGAATTTTGAGCCCAGCACTCTACAGTAGCACTTCCACCTAGCTCTCACCAAAGAAACACAATGGCAACTTCAGCACAGAGTCAGTTCACTTTCTCGTTATTGCAGCTATAGTATCAGAGACCCAACCCTCAACGGAGTCAGGAAACATCCAGATTATACTCATTATAATGTTTCGATAAGGTCCCATGTATTTGGTTCTGCATTTTGGATGGTTGTGTGTTTTCAAATTCTATCCCCATTCCCTTTTATTTCTAATAATTGTTTGTGGTTGGTACTTTATTATCGGATCCAAAAGGTTTGACCCTTGAAAAGTGAACCTTTCATAGTTTGAAATCAAGTGGTACAGATAGACGACAGTGAGTTGATTTATCATGCTGAATTCATTTCCTTTGAATGCTCATTGGCATGATGTTATGGTTCCATATCAATTAATTCCACCTTGTCACACTGACAGGGTCCCCTTAGGGGGCGTGCCCCCCACTTTGGGAACCACTAGCCTAACAGAGCATTTACATGCACAGAAACCTACATATATAACACACTACAGGGAGAACCCAAAAAGAAAAATAGGGCCCCTTATTCTTATCATGAATTCATATATGTCTATACTAATAGATTCAATATAAATAATAATCCTGTTCCTTGTCTTTTGTGTGTTTCAGCACAAGGAGAAGGCTCAGTCCCAGAATCAGGGCATCGACCTGAAGTGATCTCTCACCAACCATCACGCATGTGGGGGTTACCACGTCAACAGGTTCCCATGAGCACCACACAAACACAAGAGATGGAGAGGAAGAGGAGACAAGTAAGAGGACGTGCCACACCATGGAGGCAAAGGGAGGGTGGGAAAAAAGGGGGGTGATTAAATAGATGGGAGGGAAAGAACATTCTGCTGTTATTCATTGCAATAATTCAAGTTCCAGTTTCTTTTGATGCTTCAAGGGGACACTTTAGAGTCACAATGGCAAGATGAGAAGTATGCAGGATGTTAAACTACAACTACCATGGGACAAACTGATGCCATCAGGTGTATTGGCTATTTATACAAGTCAGGGTTGAGAAGAACAATATGAAAAAAATGAAATTATTCAAACTGTTCTGAAGTGGATTTACCCTAAATGGCTGATTTGGCAGTCATTCATGAAAAAATGAAATGATCTGTAATTTATTCACAATAGCTGCTGCCAACTCCCTCCGTAGTCCTCTGATCCTCGTAGTTCAGCTTCCCATCCCTCCCCCCTACCGGTAATGACATTAGTCCAGATGAAAAAAAAATATCTCCTATATTTATTTGAGCTTTTTTATTTGAGTGTTGGAGCATGTGTAAGTGGACTTAGGAGATCAAATGTAAATAAATGATATACTCAGCTATTGTGGTTTTCAGATTATCTAGTCAAACAGTAGTTTTAGGGTTTGATGGATGAGAGCTGTATAAAGTCAGGTTGTACAGTGGATATCTCTACCGTCACCATGGTAACAGTGTTTTCAGTCGTCAGTAACTAGGTGCTCCTTAAAGAGTGTCTTCACTGCAGGCTTAAGCTGTGTTTCCTCGCATGATATGGCATTAGCATTTCATTTCCCACTGCGGATCACCGGGAGACTCGCTTTCATCTGCAGGAGATGAGGGTCTTACCAGCCAGTAGGAATGCAGCATTAGAAGCAGAGTTTCACTGCCATCAGCGCCCCCCCCCCCATCATGTGTCTGTGTTGTATGCTGTGTTGCACCTGTATCACTCCCCAATGTCACAGCATCATGGCGAGGAGAACACCTGCACACCACTGCCCAAAGAGGTGCAGTGAAAACATTGGAGGTCAGCAAAAAAAAATATTCTAATGATGTTGAATGACTCTTTAAGCATTTGATCATTGTGGACGTTATAATAATGCACTCCAAAACAAATGGACCACCAATGAGTTAAATGGCCTTTGCATCAGTGTCCCAGTTCCATATGATAAACCAATACAAAGCAACAAGTATGCACTAATGTCGGCTGTGTAACATCCTGGTTGTTATTATACAAGGAATAGATTTGTGTATCTATCCCATGCCTTTACATAAAGTATGAGCTGACTGACGTAAGTGCAACTTCGATAACTACTGCCAATTCCAGTAAAGGAAACAAAACAGCCACAAACACGTTAAATAGGATTCATCTCTTTATGAGCTGCCACTGGTGTCTAGGGCTGAACGATTAATCGATTTTAAATGATGCAATTATGAAATCGCAAAGCAAAAAAAAGTCTTGTGTGTCAGTCATCCACACCAATCAGAAGTGCTGTGCTCCACATGTACCAGCCATTGTTAACCAATCAGAAGTGGCCCATGATAGAAGGTGATAGACAGATTGATCCAATCACCTGCCAAGTGCTTTTGAAATACTTTTCCAAATGGCTTCCAATGGAGCTTTCCTAGATGGTGAAACAAAGCATCTGAGTCAGGTTAGTGATGCTCCATCACATGTTTCTATTACAGGCAAACCCAACGGAAGTTTCATGTAAGTTTAGTTCTTTCACTCGTAGCTCGGGCTGCGGGGTGCTAGAGACGGGAGCACGTTGACACGACCTTCCTAGCCGGAGATATGGCCGCATTTTACAATAAACTTCCGTTGGGTCGTTTAAAAACAAATATTGCAAATCAAATCGCAATATCTGTCAGAAAAATCGCAATTAGATTATTTCCCCAAATGGTGCAGCCCTACTTCACACCACTTATCTTCTTCACTATTTACAACTGTGAAAAGCTATGATGCCGCATACTGTGCACTTTGAAGTTTCTTTGTTTTTATCTCTCTTTTCTCACTTTGTTCATTGTTTACTCAATCTGATTTAGCTTAATATTCATACGTAAACATCAGCAGATCTACCAAAAGATAGAATTGCTACAAATATTTGAGAGCACTGAAGTTTATTTCTACACTGTAATATTGGAACGCATATTATCCTAAAAAACAGTAACAAGTCGGCCATACTATATGCTTTACAGATTGGTGCAGTGAAGTTAGCAGCCAACAAAAAAACATGACTTTGAGACGAGGAAGTGGTCAAATGCTAACTCATTTCTGGGGTTAAAGGACTGGTTCCTGTACCACATGACATGAATCCTCATCACTTTCAAAGTATTCACTAAGACTTGTTCAATAAAGCTGCCTGGTTTCCTGGCCTGTTTCAGTTGGGAGCAGCTCATTTCGTTTTTCTGTGCATTGTGGCATTCAAGTTTAAACCAAAGGCACATACAAAAGTCTTGCCAATGTAGTTAGCATGCTGACACCATTGTAATGAAGTGTCAACCTGCTGAATGCTCTGCACCTGCTCAGAGTCTGAAGTTTGGAACTGGGACACAGCTGGGATCAGACCCCAGGTGGATCTTAGCCGAGCAGCTGACCGCTTTACAAACAAGAGGGCCTTCATTAGCTTTGGTCAACTCAAAACTGTTTCTTACAGCCAGGTCTGAACGACCTGTGAGAAAATCTCTTCCGACATGCTTACCCTTATCGAATCAAAGGCATCAGAGAGGGGGAGTGATAACAAATAGAATTGGGCTTTATGGTTAATGTAGTCCTGACTGCTCTACTAGCATTAGCTCCAGGCTATCTGTGAGCACAGTCCTGCTGGTTGGATCAAAATGCAAACATCTCCCATTATACCTTTGTCAAACCTGCAATAAGTGTTGTTTGCCACATGGGGGCAGCAGAAACAAGCTGTGAATATACAACATTAGCAAATCCTTGCCTTTAAGTTAACTTGGTGAACTTGTTGGCAAACATTTGCTTACAGAGCAACATGTATTTGTGTCACCTGATGAAGGACCAATATTCAGTCTCTTTTAGCTCTGCCTGGTCAACTCCTGAGGGATATCTCCGTCTCTAGCCGTTAAACCCTCCACTCTGTCCACTAGCTAGTCTCTCACTGTGCTGCTGAAGGGTGCAGCTGGACAGTGAAGCTCACCAAAGCTCTGCAAATACTGTCTAACCAATACATGTTATTCCCTGGGCTGCAAAGCTTTGTACATTCAATATACCATGTAACCAGTTCATACAAATACGATGAAACTGTAAGTATATAGAATTATCCGTGTATAAAATGAAAAATGTGAATATTGGTGTGTCCTATGCACATGAGGAATATATATCCCAGATGACAGTCCCCTCACACTGGAACAAACCTAGCAGGCTCTGAAGGAACATTTCAGTTCATATTAGATTTCAGTTCACGCCTACCTCATAACTACTTTGCCATGATTGCATGACAGCACTGTGAACCATGTGAAAGCAACATTCTGTGATGTTTGACTCTTTGTTAATATGTGCAGTCAGGAAGACAATGCAAATTAATGAACGGTTGTTTTAGCGAGAGGCCTCAATCTGACATTATGATGGCTTTACACCAAGAGAAATGAGTCTACAACAGTCAAAGTTAACCTGAAGGCCAGTTATTGATGTCCTTAGCTCTCCTGCCAAGTGTTGTTGAAAACGTTTCATAGTCACTACACTGAAAAAACTGGAACGTTGACTTTAATTAAATGTATAAAATAGAAATATCACATAACTGTATAAGATTAGTTGAAAGTTAAAATAAAAAATATTATTGCTTTCAACTAACCTACAGTTATGTGAAATGTGTTGACATAATACATTTCAATCAGGAGAGACTTCATTTTGTTTAAAGAACATTTATTGACACATGCCACATATGATAAATGTTAAATCTTTGGCGGTTAGACCCCGATCCTGAAATCGTGTATCTAAAGGGGGAAATGCAGCCGTGAGCATATAGGGAACCCCCCGGGGTCTAGACACTGGTGGTGATGATGAAGATCTGGATTTGATGAGGAGATGGGATGAAGAGGAGGAGTGATGAGGTCTTTGGGTTAGATCTCCTGGCTCTGGATGTGATGAAAGGAGGTGGATGGGGAGGAGGCGGGCCGCAGCATGAACACCTGAAATCACAGCTGACTGCAGGAGAGAGGAGAGCCATTTGACTGCAGCACGCTGATTGGCTGCTGGAGAATGAGGTGAAGGTAATAGGTTAAAGAGAACGCCCACAATGAGCTGGTTAAAGCAGCTGTGGAGTGGATGTATACACACACCCAGTCTTCCTGAAAGAACTTGCGCTGAGCTTCATTTAATTAAAGTCAACGTTTCAGTTTTTCAGTCTATGGTTATCAATTCCCTGCACTTTGCTGGCAGTGCTGCTGTAACATGTAACATGTTACATGAACATGTTACATGTTACATGAACATGTTACATGTTACATGTAACATGTAACATGTAACATGTAACATGTTACATGTTACATGAACATGTTACATGTTACATGTAACATGTAACATGTAACATGAACATGTAACATGAACATGTTACATGAACATGTTACAGCAGCACTGCCAGCAAAGTGCTGCTGTAACATGTTACATGTAACATGTTCATGTAACATGTTACATGAACATGTTACATGTAACATGTTCATGTAACATGTTACATGAACATGTTACATGTAACATGTTACAGCAGCACTGCAATATCGCAATATATTGCAAACAATATCATTGATAAATATATAATCAACGTTATTAGAGCCATACGGTGCTAAAAGCTGGCCATGTGACATTTTAATTGATTTGCACTTTCTGCTTGTTTCTGCTTTATTTAAATTGTATTGAACAGTATCTGTTGATAAAGGTGACCAAATATGTGAACATATCTTTTCACTACATCAGAATCCAATGATGTAATCCAATTGTTCTTCAGAACATTTCCAGATTGTCTGCCTTGAGTTCCCTAAACGCATGAAGTATGATATCAACCTTTCACTCACTAACATTAAAACACTCTTTGATTAATAACTAATATCTGTTTCTTAAATTGTTTAAAGTGTATCTCTGTACAAAGGCACATGTAGCACAATTAACACATTATTCCATGCACTGTAAAAATGACCAAATGAACAACTTATTTTATTATTTACTCAGAAGGATGTTAAATGATTTGGTCTTGCCGACATATTTATTTATTTATTTTTGTATTTATCTTTTTTTGTATTTATGTACAGGCTGCTTAATATGTTACATGGTGTAGTCACAGACCTGATCAGAATTGAACTGTAAACAGTGAACTTGTTGAGAGACAAAGTGCTTCTGGAGTTTTCCTTCATTGATCCTCCTCGCAGTGCGCGTGTGTTTTCTATGATGTATGCACTTTAAAGCCATGGTTGAGTGAAATGATATTCAAAGGAACTGGTGTGTACTGCCATGGTGAGCCATGGTTTCTCCATATGATAATACATTTATGTGTGATGTTGTATGTGTTGCCGTCTAAATGTGAGGTTCTGTGTTTGAAAAATGAAGAAATAAAACTCATCTATGATTAAAACATGGAGTCTGGTTTGTCTTTAAGAGACTGCTGATGTTCTCTTATATCATTATAAAAATGATATGAAAAACCCCACGTGCTCAGTGCATGTGCATTCACTTGGGCATCTACACAGAGTACCAACTCAGAACATGAAAGTAGACAACCCACTCACTGTTTTGGGGGGCTTCTATCAGAGAAAAGGGGATTCAACAGGCCATTCACACGTGTCTCTGCTATGTCACATGCAGGCTGATTGAATCCACCTGCATCCGTTTGCTCTATACTAATAATAATAATAATGAATTTGATTTATAAAGCGCCTTTCATTGCTGACAGCAATCCCAAGGTGCTACTGGAAGAACACCAAAGAAGTAAATATCTCACTTTTGAAGTTTCAGAATGCTTAACCAGCCCAGCAGTTCAGTCTGGCTTGGCTTTGGATCAGGGGGTTGCTGGTTCTAGTCCTGGACCGGGCCATTTATTTACAGAGCGTGGACTGGTACTTTGAGAGGTGCCACTTCATCTATTTTGAACTACCAAGGTGCGTACTTTAGCAAGGCACCAGACCCCTGTACAGAGTACCCTCTGCTCCTAATACTGAGATGGGTTCAATTCAGAGTATAAAGTCCCCATTTGTGCGCTGCTGTGAACATTTGTGACGATTGCATGTGGATTCCATTCAATTCCTTCATTTGGTTTGTTCAGCAGCTAACTGTGTGTCTGCCGTTTGCTGCTGAGCAGGCAGTCTGAGTGGGTTGTTGTAGTTCTCTCTGAAATGTAGTTGTTGGGTCATAAAAGGTCATTCTGATGACTGTTTGCCACTAAAAGCAACATATCTTACTTTAGCTCGGTCAGATACATGCTAACTTTCTATCCAATCCCCACAATACAAAAAACAATGTTCAAATCAAGCAAAATGTTTTTTAGTAATAATAGGATCTGAAGATTTTATTTGTTTGTGAATGTTTTATTGCTTGAATCTTTTTGATCAACAAAAGGTACTCTCGTGACACATACAAATAATCATTGATTTTAAATGATTCCATAAACAAGCTTTTTTTGAAAGATTAGCTGAATCTGGATTTCGAGGTGAGTTTGCCCATGTTGCTGCAGTGTCATGGGGCAGCCACTAGGGGTCACTAAACACTTCATGTCCTGTCATTTAGTGGTTACTTTCATTTGGTCCTGACAGAACATGAAGGAAAGATAATAATACAAAAATAATAATACAATTGTGTTGAGAAGAAACAGTGTGAGGGAAACAGGATTTACATGACAGGTTAAAAAAGGAATTAGAGGGTATATTTGTGAGAGAATGTTACACATTGAGTCTGCACTAATACAGTTTAATCTAACGCCAGTTCTTCCTGTTTGGAATGTAGCTGTGGTAAGAATATGATATTTCAAAACTAAATTGTCCATGATTGTTGATCTCCTCGTGATTTTTGGACCACATTTAAACACATGGGATTAATGCACTGGTGGCTCACAGTTTTATGTACAATTTGACCTAAACTTCAACTTGTATTTCCTTTTTATGATGCTTTATACTATGCCGTACATGCTTTTCTACTACACTAAAGTTTTGAGCCAATTATTGTACTTTTTGTTCCTTTACATTGTTCAGTTTAGTTACTGTAGTAGTTATTCTGCAGGCTTGTGTCAGTAATACAAATATAAATCAACTAATCAAATAATGTACATATGGATGTGTAACCAATAATATATATATATATATATATATAATATATGTTATTCTGAGAATAGATCATTCTTCATGATAAGTACTTTTAGTTTTGGTACTTTCATCATATTTTGATGCTAATGCTTTTGTACTTTTAGTCGAGTTTTGAATGCAGGACTTCTCCTATTAAAAAAATAGACTTTTACTACTTTTACTAAAGTAAAATATTTGAGTACTTATTTCAACAGTTGATAAATGTGAACAGGTTTACAATTCAGATATTAAACACATAGAGGTGTTAGAACAAGCAGCACAACTAACATTAACACTAATGTGAAAATACAATAAGAAAATAATGACAAATACAGTGAACAAAGAGAAAAGGAGAGAGTCCAGCTCCCTAAAGACACACACCCACACTTAGACACACACAGAAACACACACCCACACATAGACACACACAGAAACACACACCCACACATAGAGACACAGAAACACACACACACACATAGAGACACAGAAACACACACACACACACACACTAAACAGGTGTGGATGACTGAGTTGAGTTTCTCTGTCGGCAGCATCTGCAGCAGAGGACGGTCACCGTGACGATAATGAAGAAGACTGTGAGCAGGATGAAGATTATACCGACCCAAGTGCCCAGGTGCAGCTCTGCAGGGGGGGGGGGGGGGGGGAGTGAGACAGGTGGAGCTGTCAATCATCAGTCTGAACACAGTTTCTAGCCATCTGTTTACAGTGCTGGACAGTTACTACCATGTACTCAGTACCGGAGTACTGCATCTAAGTACTCCTTTGAGGTTCTTTAGTTTTTACCTTTTTGAAATATTTGTTACTAATAACATTATTTTACCTTGTATTCTGCAACATGTTTTGTTTGTGACTTTAAACATTCAGATACATACTAATAGGACACATTATAATATAATGTATCAATTAATATATAATTTAATCTATCATCATTATTTAACATCATTTCATTTCTTTCTTTTTTTAAGCTAAGAAGCATTTTATTGTTTCCATGATGACATTCAGAACTATAACCAGCCGAATATATTGTGATTCATACATTTATAGATCACTAAATATTATCCCAAAGTATAATGTAAATTATTCTTAAATGGGTTCAGTATCTGGACTTTTACTTTTAATTATATTCTGATGCTTAAACCTTGCACTGTATTTTATTCTTGAAATATTACTACTTGTATACTACTTGCATACTTGAATTTTCCATCCCACATTAACACAAAAAGGTTTCAGGGACGTTTCATTTTAAAGAAAAACGTTTGCGCTTTCACTTTTGTACTCTGTTATTCCTGTTATTCCTGTTATTCCCACATTTAACATGAATTGAAGACACTGAGTGTCCTTAGCTTCACACAGTTCTTCAAAACCCAAGAGGATCAGCTTAGCAGATGTTTTGTGTTTGCCTTTAGGGACATACTGTGTTTGTGTGAGTCACTGTGATGGTGAACAAAACAATGTTAGTTCCTAAAAAGGAATGAAGGAACTCTTGAAAATGACCACAAAGTACGTCAACCAGAGAGGCCTGTGAGCACCAAACTAAAGTTGTTGTTCTGCATAAAAGCCACACCCCGGACTCATGACCCGGCCAGGCAACTGATGTGTGGTGTGTAGTGTGTGTTGTGTCGTGTGTATAGAGAGCCGCACCATGCAGGATGTTCTCCTCATGAGGTGTGCACAGCTGCTGGCTCCACGCCCCCAGCTGGCTGCCTTTGGGTCTGGAGGGGATGAACGCTGCGGCCATGAAGCAGTAACTCTCTCCTGCATCCAGCTTCGACACCTCGGCCATACTCGAGTCAGATATGATGTCTCTCTGATAATAAAGAGGAAATATTACAATCACTCACTTAAAGCTTGGGGAGGTAACATTAGAGAAGGTAGCAAAAGTAAGCTAGATTTAATAAGAAACACAACTAAAAAAAAAACACTAAACTCGCTATATTTCAATAATAGTAGCAACACTAGCTACAGGTCGCTTACTGAGTAAAGCTCACTATCAGAACTTTCTTTTAAATCATCTTGTGTAGCTGCTCAATTTCAGTATAAACCTTAAAACTTGTTTTATTTGATATCTTTATTCATCTTTAGTAGGACGATGGCATATTTACCACATGTCTCAGTGTCTCAAAGATTAGCTTTGTCTTACAGTGACAACATTTGAGTTATCGGTGACGTTCATTTTGTTTAAAGTAATTTCTTGAACATTAATAGTTTCTTGGTAAAGCAGGTATCAATATTAATAAAGACATGGGGAGTTCATAGTTATATGCTGCTAAAATCTTGAAAGTTAGCTGACAAAATTCTAATTTCCATTAAAGCGTGCAGCTAGTTAGCTTAGCTTAGCACAAAGAATGGAAACAGAGGGAAACAGCTAGCCCGGCTCCATCCGAATGAATAAAAAATAGCTACCAGCTCACTAAAGCTCACTGATAGACATCTTGTCTAAAGTAAAACAGGTGCCAGCAGGTGGACAGAGACACCCCTACCACCAGGCTTCATGCTAAACTAAGCTAAGCTCCTGGCTCCAGCTACATATTTTAGTCCTTGACATTTTATAAATCATAGTTTTACTAAATAGAGGTAAAAGCTTTACAATGTTTTGAAAAATGTGGTTTAAAGAATTAATAATTTTGTATAAGTTTAAATTGTATAATTCTATGGGATCAAATGTTTTTTTTTGTAAAAAATTATGGTGATTAATAGATCAGTTGACAATTTCACAAGGAGAGTTAGCCAAAATGACGTGAATAAAGCACAGTGTTGGTGAAGAGCATATAATAAATGCTAATATATTGTGTCCATGTACTTATTTTGTAAAGCTTTCTTTAAAGCAAAGTTTAACCAAAAAGTGTTTGTCCAGTGTATAAAGATACATTGTATCTGTGTCGGGTTGGATGACATAGCTCTAACATGAATATTTTAATCAACCATAATAATACAGTAATTTACATTTGAAACATCGGTACCACTTTACAATAAGACTACCCTTATAAAGGGTTTACGAATAGTTTATAATTCATTTATTAATTAGGTTGTGAACACTTTATAAATCATTAATAAGCTTTTATAAGACATGAGATAAACAGGGCAACTGTGACCGGTTGCTTGCCAAATAGTGAGCCCACATGTATCTGTACCGCTAAGCCTTGTATTGGCTACTTAGCTTACTTCGTCTTCTTCATCAGCCAGCATCCTTGGTATCTGTTGTTCTCTGAGTTGATTCCCCTCCTTCCATCTTGATGTTTCTTGGCATCTCTTATGACCATTAATGAATGAGTCACTAACATAACTACTGAAAGGGAGCCTTATTGTAAAGTGTGAAACACATCACCATCTATTGATGAGTCACTAACATTTATAACTACTGAAAGGGTGCGTTGTTTTTAACTTTAATACACATGTCCATTTATGGATGAGTTATAACATTCACGCTGACCTAATACACATTTTTCACATGAAATGCAAAGTAAAATGCAAAAGAGCCAAGCAAAACATTTTATTCACAGATGAAGAAAAATTAGGACTCGAAGTAATGACTGTTTAGTATGACTGATACACATATGTAAACATAAAAGCTTTTCTCAGACATAAATGTAAGACTTGGTAAGACATAATGGTACTCAGACTGGAAAGGCTTTGTGTATATCCTTGAACAAGCGTCCAAGCAGTCCATCAGGGTGAGCAGAGCCAAGAGGACCATTCAAGAACCTTGAGGTGTTCCTCCAACAAACTCTCTGTACGGTTTCCTCTCAGTCTACGGACGTGTCCTTTGACGGTCAACCAAGCTGTTATGGTGTAGTGGTTGTACCCCATGTTCCTCAGCACTCTCCTGTATGCCCTCCACTCATCACTAATAATGCTACTTCCTGACTTGACATGCCGTCTAATCAGAGGGACAAGGTGGCATCTTGATCGTTTCTCCACTAGTTTCAACACTAGTCTCCGCCTTTTGTCTTTAACTCCCATCATTCCGAAGACCCATTTCTTCCTTCTCTAGGTACAGTATGTCCAAAGCGTCCACGTACATACTAACAAAAAAATAAATCATAACATCATCTTAGTTAACAACAATATGCACACAAATTACAGTAAAAATTGTTGCACATCATGTTTCAAAATGCCATACTTGTTTATTAGGTGCATTGTATAACATCATTTAAGGATAATTATACAGTAATGGTCCATATTGATTTGTATTCTCTTGTACAAAAAAGCCCAGTCAATAACTGCCGAACATAGGAACTCGGTACAATACCTTCTCCCAGACACAAATACTAAAATAACATAGTTTACTATATCAGCATTGGTGTTACCAATGCTTACTATTTATTTGATACCAATTTGGTAATATAATTAATAAAAAGAACAAGGTTTGGGTTTGTTCTTCAGACTGTGACGTTAACGTGTAAGCTCAATAATGAACTCCAGCTCAACCAACCATATTGTAATATCTAAGTAATCATCTTGAAATTTGACATTAATAATTGTAATATAGGTTAGGTTAATTTCACATACACTAGGCCGCTCTTCAACACTACTTTAGTTTGGCATTAGCTTGTCTACATAATCGATCATAGCTAATTTAAATTAACCTTATCAATGCATAAAGTTACCTACCTAATAAAATATCTCTCTAACTTACAAGGATGACCTTATTTTCCAAACCTCAAACAGAAAACGTTTATTCTACAGTATTATCCCATTTAATGCTTAACACTTCTCTATTACGTTTTAACTTGGAGGCTACGATTAGCATCATAGCTACCACTTGCTTACATGCTAACCCAAGCCTTACATTAATTAACTATGCTGACTAAAAACATAAGCAACACATAAATAAAGTACTCAAATTTCACTTACCGTAAAACCGCATTCATGCACCGTCTGTTTTAACCGCAGAGCGAGTCACAATAGTCCGATTTAAGAATGAAGAATAGTCCAAAAGTCTAAAGTGATTTGTTTAACACTTTACAATAAGGCTCCATTTTAACAATTATAAATGGTAGTAACTCGTAAATAAATGGTCATAAAGAGATGCCAAGAAACATCAAGATGGAAGGGGGAGAATCAACTCAGTGAACAACAGATACCAAGGATGCTGGCTGATGAAGAAGACGAAGTAAGCAAGGTAGCCAATATAAGGCTTCGTCATCTTGCCAAATAGTGAGCCTGTGTTGTAGTATGAAAACTATGTTAGAACTGGTTTATAAATGGCTCTTAATGATAAATAAAGTGTTTACAACCTAATTAATAACCTAATTATAAACCCTTTATTAATCCTTTATAAGGGTAGTCTTATTGTAAAGTGGTACCGAAACATCTAGCTGATAAATTATATTTATAAAAAACATTCAATGTACATTATACAACTGTTCATTCTCAGTGCTCAGGTGAGACTGTATGCCTGCACTCTGCAGTGTCTCAGTGTGGTCTTTGCAGAGCAGTGCTGTACCTTGCCTGTACTTCCAGGCTTGTTGTAGCTGATCTTATACTTGAGGTCATTTTTGAGGACGTCTCTGAGGCTGAGCTGCTTCCCACGCCGGTGAATCCCGGTCAGAGGATCTGTGATGTTGACCATGACTCTGTTCTCATCCACAGCCTCCACCGTGATGTCCACCGCACTGATTTTACCTGAGAAGAGGACCAATCAAAGGGGACCATGAGACATGAGAGAGTTCATAAGAGTCCTATTCATAAAGCTGTGGGTCAGTACTACAGGCCCTTTTTTTTTTACTGTTGTGCTGGCTAACCACTTAATGCTTTATCCTTCTTTCTTTTTTTAAAGAGGAGCTTCTGTGTCTCAGTAGTGCAGAAATGAGTTAGCATGTTACCACTTCAGATTCCCTGGTCTCAAAATTCAATGGTATTTGAAGGTGTTTTGGTTGGAATCTGAAAGTGTGGTTCCACAAGCTGGTCACGTTTTGTTCCTCGATGTAAAATATATCAGTAAATACCCCACTGGTGAATGTCTGAAGCTTATATGTGTGAGAACACAGCGGTTGCTAACAAGTGACTACATTTTTACTTCTGGAGATTGCATTTAAGCCTCAGGAGGTAAAAAACTGGTGTTAGCATGTGGAGATTATCCTGCTGAACAAAATGTGTAAGTATCATAAAAGTGTTTTCCAGAGATCTCATTCTCTGCAGAAATCCAATGGAAAAACCTCTTTTTGCAGAGGGGGCACGAGCAATGCTTTCTTGTGTACTTCATACACTCAAGTACAGTGTTCCATCTTCCGAGCAATTTTATTTTTCTATACATGTTTCCCCAGTGGCCCATCTTCAGTCATCCTTGTCTGCAAAAAATGATGTTCCCATGCAACCACACTGCTTTTGTCAAATATATTTCATGGGAAATGTTTATTCCAATAAATTACTATTTTTTGGGACACATATCTGAAATACGTTTCTAATCAGGTTGCGGAAGTACATGTTGGGAGGAGGAAGGGGTTGAGGGGTTAGTCTCCTGTGTGAAGTCCAATCTATGTTGATTTTGTATTTATTTAAATTAATTAACAAACATATCTAAACTACAATCTATTTATCTAATCTAAGTAGTTTTATTTGTTTTGACAATTGAACGTTTAAAACGGCACCCAGTATCCGGGTGAAATTATGTTTCCCTCTGAACACTTTAGATAATGCAGTTATGTTGTATGGAATGTAAATAAAAAATAAAGAGATCTTTGTCATTGGGTTCGGCACAAGACAGATAAGCTGCCTGTTGCAGGAAAACACAGCAAGAATCAACAGGTCTGCTGCCTCTGATACTGCCTGCATGAAACTCTATCAGCTGAACGCCTCACACAGAGCAGGCTGAAGCTTGAAGGAGAAACAATGGTTAACAATATGAAACCATTAATTCAACAGGTGCCTGTTCACGCAGTTATCTGTTGCTTTAAAAGATATTACCATAGCCGTGGGTGAGGCTCAGAATAGGGAAGGCTAATATCCAACTATCGTACTAAAATACCACAGAAGAAGTAGCCTACATTCATTTACAACAGCACGTCTATGCACCTACTTACCAACAATAAAGCAGCACAGGAGCTACAGGGGGGTAATGAATGTAATCTACTACATGTAGGTTACTAGGCTACACCATAACGAGATGCAGTAATGCTGGGCTAAATCACCGTTACATAATTGAAATACAGGTTACTAATTGTTAACTGTTGTACAACAATGCAACCGTCAAAAATGCATAGACAAAGTTTATGACTACAAGTCAAACAACCACAGCCTAAGTCACAGGTAAGTCTGTGTGGATTTACTAAATACTGTAGCTGTGAGCTAAAATGCTAATGCAGAGACACTCACTGTCACTGTGCAAACATACAAACTACTCATACATGCTGCTGGCTGCAGCTCCAGGTACACAGCATGTGACAGAAGTTCAGACCTATCATACGCTGGAACTCGGTGCTAACAATAAAGACTCATCCTGTCAGACGGAGACAATAAGTGTTTTTTTAACCAGCTCTTTTGGTTTTAATGTTAGGTTAGCCAAACTCGAAAAGCTGTTCCTGTTTCTATGAGCCTCCCCATATGGGGTCAGATCAGTCGCAAAAATAAATAAATGCACACAGAAGGATAAACAAATGTAATTCCGGATTTATATATAAATGTCTCCATCCACACACATATTTTTCAATGCACACAAAAACTTGTCATTTTATGAATGTAACAAAGTTTCACAAATATATTTCTGATCCACACACAAATAGTTACATCAAAAACCTATTTGAGTGTTGTTACATTTATATAAAAAACGCTTTCTGTGTGTGAAACTCTTTGCATTTGATTGTGAATTTCTCAGCATTTGAGTGTGAATCTCTCTGCATTTGTGTGTGGATTTTTGAGACTCCCCTGACGCCGCTAGATTTAAACATACATTTTTTTTATCAGATGTCTGCTTCATTTTAAGCCAATCACATGTGTGTGTCCCCAAGAGGGTGTGCCTGATGCGTTTGCAACGTAGCGTAACATCTACGCGGTTTGCGGAGTCTGGGGGTGTGACAGATTCTGGGGGGGTGACAGAGTCCGGGGGGGGTGACAGTTCAGAGTTCATCTCCAACAACATGGCATCTGGAAGTGGCGCTCCCGCTACTACACATCATGTCGTTAGTCATGCAATAATCTCGAATTATTAATTATTACTTTTGCTTCATTATGAAGGTAGCTCAGTTAGTTATTGTGCTTTTCTGGTGCTTAACTGGTTCTTCTCTGTAGCACCACTTGTGTTTCCACCGCTCAGAGCCCGACTGGTGCTGCCTCTGCTGCGTCATGACATCACCGTTTACGTCGCTGATTTTCTCCCCAATGCCGCTCACAACAACAACAATAGGGGATTGCGTCGGGTCAATGGTCGTGTTGCTTTTAATCATACAAAGCCAGATTAAATTAAATAACTACTTCTCAACCCTTGTACTTTTCTCTAGAGTGTCGTGGTCCATTGTTTATTAATGTGGTTCAGCAGCATTTACCGACCGCTGCAGTGCTGCTCGTCCACCGGAGTTTAGTCTCCCGTTAACTCACGGCAGAGTTTAGTCTCCCGTTAACTCACGGCAGAGTTCAGTCTCCCGTTAACTCACTCAGAGTTTAGTCTCCCGTTAACTCACTCAGAGTTTAGTCTCCCGTTAACTCACGCAGAGTTTAGTCTCCCGTTAACTCACTCAGAGTTTAGTCTCCCGTTAACTCACTCAGAGTTTAGTCTCCCGTTAACTCACTCAGAGTTCAGTCTCCCGTTAACTCACTCAGAGTTTAGTCTCCCGTTAACTCACGGCAGAGTTTAGTCTACCGTTAACTCACGGCAGAGTTTAGTCTCCCGTTAACTCACGGCAGAGTTTAGTCTCCCGTTAACTCACGGCAGAGTTTATTCTCCCGCTAACTCACGGCAGAGTTTAGTCTCCCGTTAACTCACGGCAGAGTTTAGTCTACCGTTAACTCACGGCAGAGTTTAGTCTACCGTTAACTCACGGCAGAGTTTAGTCTACCGTTAACCTGTTAAGCCCTGAGCCTGTTTTTCAGGCCTCAGGCTCGAAAATGACATGCCCAGAACAAATATCTTCACTTCTAAAGGGTTAAATTAGTAATCTTTTTTCTCAAAGTAATGATAAACCTGTGAGTTGGCTGTAAAAGTGTCAGAATCAATATAGATGTTTTTATTTTAAAGGTCCCATGACATGGCCATTTCTACTGATCATAATTCCATTGTTGAGGTCTACTAGAATAGATTTACATTGTTCAATTTTCCACACTCACATTGGTTTCTCACACAGCATCTCTGTATAGTATGTGTATTCACTCTCTGTCCTACACGGCTTGTTGGAGCTCCTGCCCCCCCCCCCCCCCTCCCTATGAGCCCACTGTGTTCTGATGAGTCCACCACCGTTACAGCGGAACATCAGTGATTATGTGTTACAATGGCGTTTGTTAGCAACCAAAAAATGACACCAGTAATGACAAACAGATGAGAATGCTGCGTGGGGTCTGGGTGCCGTGTTGGCGGCACGTTGCGGGGCTCGCTGCTCCGCCCTTTGAGACTCGAGGAGCCGACAGTGTGAGCTGTATTACTGGTGTCGTTTCCTGATTGCTGTGTGGGGTCTGCGAGACAGCGAGACATGGCAAAACTCAGCCTGAACTCAACCTGAGCACACACACGTCGTGAGTGTGTGGCGAACTGTGAGTGGAGATCCACGCAGCTGCGGCTGATAAAAGCTCTATGCAAGTCAATGGGACTCCCTGATAGTTGAATATCGATGCTAAAGGTCCCCCCACTGCGTTTGATAGTGACACGAAGGGATCCTGGTGTGTGAGGAGCTCCATGGATTGGTCCATTTGGACCAATTGGTCCATTGGGTCGTCGTTACATCACTTGGTTCCCGGAAGAAAGAAATGGAAAAAGAAAAATCTCCAACGAGGCGTTCTGGGGCAGCATAGACAGGTCTTTTCTGTGTTAGAGTTTTACTCGCTACAGGGTGTACTTTGAGGGTTTATGACTCTGCAGACCGTTTACATGCATAACACACAAGGGGACGGGTAATAACCGGAAAAGCATGACATGGGACCTTTACGGCCCGTCCACACAGCGGCATGCATTGAAGCTTCAACGCTTCTGCCCATTCACTTTGAATGGGGTGACGTCATACTTTGCCGAACTGCATTGTGGGGGCGTTGCTTCGCTTTGCTCGCGTTGCTCGCTTCAAAAATTGAGCAATGTTCAACTTTTGAAGCCTCTGCAGAAGCATCAGCCAATCAAATCATATGCCAGTACAAGCTCTAGCCAATCAAACCGCTGCTTGTGTGTCCGGGGCGGGAGATTCATGTGATTGGTTGTTGGTCGATTTTCAGACACGCCCGCCGGCAAGCTTCAACGCACGCCGCAGTGTGGACGCTGCGTTAAAGTCAATTCAGATTGAACATAGTGTAGTAAAAGAAATTAAATTATAGTTTCCGTCTAAAGAAAACCCATTACTTATAGTGAAAACCACCCTTGAATGATGGGATAGTAGCCAAAAACCTTTAGGAATCCAAACTATAACATATAATAAGTACCCTGTATGAAGTTTGATGCAAAACAAGTGAAATTTGACAATTTTAGAGAGATTTAGAAAAAAAAAGTCTGACTT